TTCGATTGTGGACCGCGTCGGCGGCTTTGGCAGCGACAACCGCGCCGGCCTCGAGCGCCAACTGCACCGCATCTCGGCCATTCGCAACCGCCAAGACAATATCATCGCGCTCACGATCCGCGTCGGCCGGTACATTGAGGGCAACGCGGGCTTGATCGCGGATCTTCTGGCGATGGAAGACAAGAACATTCTCTTCCTCGGCGAACCTGGCTGCGGCAAAACCACGATTGTCCGCGAAGTCTCTCGGCAGCTCGCGACCAAGTACAACGTCTGCATCGTCGACACGAGCAACGAGATTGCAGGTACTACTCTTCAATCTTATACTAGAAGAAGAACCCTAACCGCGCTCTGATCTCCAGGCGACGGCGACATTCCGCATCCATGCGTGGGCCTGGCGCGGCGCATGATGGTGCCATCGCTCAACGACCAAGCCGCAGTCATGGTCGAGTGCGTCCAGAACCACACGCCCGAGGTCATGGTCATCGACGAGATTGGCCGACCGAACGAAGTCGAGGCTGCGCGCACGTGCAAGCAGCGCGGTGTGCGCATCGTGGCCTCGGCGCACGGCGACCTGCGCAAGCTGCTCAAGAACAAGCCGCTGCGAGGGCTTGTGGGCGGCGTCGAGTCGGTGACGGTCGGCGACGCACTGGCCAAGGAAAAGCAAAAGAAGGACGACAATGGGCCGCTGCGAAAGCTGTTGGCGCAGCGCGGTGGCGAGCCGATCTTTGAGGTGATTGTGGAGCTGCGTCGCGGGCAGTACAACGCGTGGCGCATCGTGACGGACGCCGCGTCGGCGGTCGATGCCATCTTGGCCGGCGAGGCGTACGAGGCGCAAGTGCGGACGCGTGCTCTGTACGGCGGCGTGGGCTTTGGATACGGTGTAATGAATGATGCGTTCTTTTGAATGCAGTTTTGAGCTCAATGGGTACCCTTCTGTGAAACATGCATATGTGTACAGAGCCTGACACCTTCTTGGTGGATCGAGTAAAAGTTATTAGGCCCCGCCTCTGTGCTTTTATTCAAAGCACAGGCCCACAATAAACAGCAAATGGATCCACACAATGGACGTCGCACGCCGACGACGAGTGGCATTCCCTGGTCTCGACGCAATCTCTTATCACGCTACCGAGTGTAAACAATTGTCCAATGCGATCTGGCAACACTTGTGCACTCTAGATCGGTGCCTGTTAAATGTGGCAACTTGCTGATTTTATTCATGGCATATGCCATAAACAATATTTGACAACGTATAATTGTCGGCATATGCCTCGCACGCCAACGCGAAGTAGCTTTTCGTGACCGCTAAAGTGTCCTCTATCACGTCGCCAAGTTTAAGCGATTTTATTTCCCAACTCGATTTGGCGCATGGAGCGGCCTAGCGGTGGAGGTGGCCGGGATGCAATCGCGTGGGATTGGCTCAGAATATGATTAAAATAGCCAATCAAATGCCTTCAGTAGGAATCGTATTTGAGATTGGCCCTACAACTGGAGCGGACAGATAGCAATCTACGACATCGAGCAGACAGGCAGCTCGCCGCTGCGGACGCCGTCCACGATCGCAAAGAGGTTCAAGCCTGCATACGGCACCTGGAGCGTCTCGAGCTCTGTCAAAATGACGCCAAACGAGTAAATGTCGGCCGCGTAGCCGTACGTGGTTCCAGACTCAAAGACTTCGGGTGCGATCCACGCCGGCGTCCCCACAAACGTCGTCATGTCGAGGTTGAACTCCTTTGTCAGGCCAAAGTCGGCCACCTTGATGTATTAATAGTTGGAGGAGCTCAAGCACGTTAAAGCTCTTGACTGTGAGGTCGCGGTTCATGAAGCCGTTGCGGTGGAGGTCGGCCAAGGCGTTGGCAATGACCCACGCAATATCGAGCGTCGAGTAGTCGAACGGAACGGGCTCGCCCTTGCGCTTCTTGTCGAGGTACTGGCGGAGGTTGCCGCCATCCATGTACTCGAGCACGAGCTTGGGGTTGTCACTGTACTGATCCGAGACCGCCGCTACAGCAAATACCGATATGGCGAGTTGCACCTATGGTGCACGTCACCTAAAGACGTCCAAACGGCCAAATTTTGACCGAGATATCTCAAGCATTTTTTGATTTCATTTCGGCGAGTAGAGCATTCTTACCTCGTGAAATAGACTCGGGAATGTGCCGATGACTTATATACTTCTTGTGGGCGTACTTCGTGAGCTCGTAATCGCAGCCCCAAATGGTACGACTCGATGAAGTGTCCGCATCGACGAAAATACTTGCGAATCGACGCCAACGGAACTCTTTCGAGGCTCTTTGGCACACGAGTCTTGAGTCCTTCGAACGAGTAGTCGCAGTTGGCCCGAGCATAGCGCTTGGCTGTCCCCCCGTAGGCTTCGATGGGGTTCGACTCGCAGTGATACTTGGGCAAGAACAAGCAGTGGTGGCCTGCGCCAGAGATCGTCTCTTCCAAGAGCGATACTTGGGAGCGGATGTCGGGTTGCGACGCGACGCAGTGCCTCGCGCAGCACAGGAGCACCCCTTCGGTGGCGCTGACGTCGACGTTTTCGTTTGGGCACTTTATCCGCGGGCCATGCGCAGCGACGTCGATGCCACGCTCCAGAAGAACTTGCTTGATGCCCTTGGCCTGGCCCGCTTTTTCCGTGCTGGCTTCGAAGACCATAGGCTGGTCGCGGCCGTCCGAGAACTTGCCCGGACGCATGATTGCTTCAGCGCCACCGGGGTTCAAGTTCATGTTCGTGGCGCGTCCGGGGCGAACGCTGCGTGGTTGGTCGACTGGTCGAAGGTGAATGAGGCGATCGCGTTCGGGTGCAACTCGGCAAACGCGACCAAGACTTCTTCCTTCACTTGGTTGACGACATGCTCCGACGTCCAGTAGCCTTCGTTGATCTTGCCGATCTCGAGCACGCGCGTCGAGAACGTCTTCCAGCGCCCTTGGCCCACATCTCGTCGAAATACGTCACAGTCGTCTCGTCCTCGCTCTCTTCCAGCTCCAAGCTGCTTTCAATCGCTTCGACCCTTGGGGCAAAATGGGCATTATGCCATGGGATCGATCGGGCGTTCTTGGAGCATCGAGTTCGGGGCCCTTGGGCCGTTTCCAAGAAGTGGAAGAGGTTTTCCGCGCAAGGCCGAGCGATCCAAAAAACCAAGATCTAGAAGCACATACGTTACAAGATCCAAGGCGCAGAGCAAGCGAGCTCAAGCCATTTCCAAATTGGTAGTGTCAGTCAAACAACTAACCCGCCTCGCCCACCACAGGCATGGCGGACACCAACACGGTTGTTGCCCCCAAGTAGTTCGGTCTTGATTGAGGAAGTGGAATTTCACGGGATTTCACGTCCGGATACTCTCGGCAACCTTACCGGATAAGACCTATACAAAAACAAGATGTTTTGTGTAATCCGGACGCGCCCTTGCTGCTTATCCGGACAAATGACGTTCACCCCTGTGGCCAATAAGTGCCCCGAGCCCATACATTTCTATATTAAGGTCACGTTGGTAGAACTTCGATAACTTCGTCCAAACGCGTTCAATTTCAATTCGGAGCACTAGGTTCGTTTCCCCTTGTCCAGATCTATCGATTGTAGTGCTCTTTAGCTTCCAATTGAATTGTGATTGGAATTTAACGGACAGGCCTCCGTGAAAATCCCTTGGCATCTGATTGGCCAAAAAGCCTCCATGACGTGGCAACGTGTTCAGGCAGTATTGTGCAGAGTACTGAGGAAGCTCGCTATGATGAAGACATCACAGACATAAACATGTAAACTTAAAAGTGTTAATCACCGCTATACAAAAGAGTATTACCTGCCTTGGAGGGCCGGCAAAGGAGGTTGTAAATGCTGGAAAATCTTCAGCTGCGATGTGCGACGTGTGCAATTCTTCTCCC